CTATCGATCCCGTAGAACGTAGTTTTTACCGGAAAATCATTGGTACTTCGATAGAAAATCGCGAATTATCCGTAACTCGTCGCTTCGACTCGCAATTCTTCATTTGCCACGTTTAATCGTTATCGTTAGAATTCTTCATTCTATTATATCAGCTACCGGGGGTTCATGTGGGTTTTTAGATCAAAAACGCAGAGAATGTTTTCGTAGATAATTTTAATAACTTGCTGTTACGTGATACATTCATTCATAAACCTGTTGACCTACAATACTCTGCCAGACTCGTGAAAAATGTTCAACTATGTTATTTATTGTTTCTGAATATAAGTTAAATATTACTTTTCTATTATTAGTCGTTAATCTTCAGAGTAAACTATTCTTTTCCTAATAAATGATCAACGTTAAATAGTTGTATCATAGCGAAGAAATAAATCATAAGGCGGTGGATTGAGCTAAAGAATTCATGAACCAATGAACCAATTCATTGTTACCCAGAGAACTGCGTGAATTTTATCCTAATAAGGTAATTTCCTTAATCATCTCTGATCGTAAGTAATTGTGATAGTTAAAGGAACCCCGTGTTAGCAGCAATTTCCACGAAAAATAGAGAAATCCTCTGTCGGGAACACGAGCGCGTCTTCGAACCTTAATCTCGTAGAAAATCCCGCGGCGTAATGGCACCGATACGATCTGACTCCGTAACAATCGCGAGATGGTAATCGCGTGGTCGTAGAACGGGGAAACGGAGGCATTGTTAGCGGTTATTAGCGCAATGGCCGTTGAAAAACAGAACACCGCGCATCCTTTCCTCCCCTTTTGTCTTGTTGCCTCGAGTCGCATTGTTGCTGGGATTTACAGCGATTTACCCGCCAATTGAAAAGGACCCGGCGAATATTAATGAGCCAGTTCTCCTATGAATCCTAATAATCCACGATTAACCAAGTCCCATGAAATTTTTTTTCTGAATTTTTAGATGAAATTGTGTGCTTCGAATGAGTACTCTCTTGGAAAAATAGTGAAAAGAATCTGACATATTCAATATACTATATATAGCATGATCTATAGATAGATTACTGAGAACATACGTTAACAAATAAATTGCCTATAACAATTTAGAGTGAGTGATCTATTAACTCTTTGAACTCGAGGGCTCCAGAGCAGAGCCATTTAAAATTTATTATTACAAACTGTAAAGCTTTATTATTCAATATGTTATAACATTTATATCTATAATCGATAAAAACAATGAAATATATCTATGACTTTTCTTTTCATACGCGTATCGTTTATTTATATGTTAATATGCTTTTTCTATTAAAATTGCTTAGAATTGCTGGTAACACCAATGAGAAAAAGTGCAAAGGGTTAATAGATCACTGGGACTTAATGGGTTAATTAACGAACCGTCCTTTTAGACTCGAAAGTTTTTCCCCAGACATTCATTAATCCTTAATAAATTAATTAAACCACTAACCCCATTAACCCATTTGCATTATAAGCGCATATATCCGCGCCACCGTTGTGTAATTTGTACATCACGAAAAAAGAGAAAGATTCTTACTTTCTTATACTATGAACCATTTCTATTTTGATGCAATCGAAACATGACGGTGAGGACCAATTTTCCACTGTTTGGTTTGACGCAAATGGGTTAAATATAAATAATACAACAATCAGTAAAACTATTTCATTCGAATATTTCACGTCCAATTACATTCTACAGAACATGACGTCGAATACAGAATGTTATAGTTTCTCTATATCGAAGCAATCGGCGACTGAGTCGTCTATCGACTGCAAAGGGTTGCTAAATAAGGTTCTCCCTCCGCTTTTGGAATCTATTGACATTCAAGGACTATATCACGGCTGACCGAAGGTTCCTAATTGCTTCATCGGACGGGGATTTCGATGAAAAACTCGCCGGTTCTCCGAGTAGGTTTGTTTAAGGGAAAATTCCGTTACGAGCTCGCTCCCTTCCGTCGATCGTCACACGGCCGCGATCGAAGGATCACCGAGACAAATCGGACCGCTAACGATTTAGTTATCCCGGGCTCTAATTACCCCATTATCATTCCACCGGCCCGTAATTACCTCGTTAACTTCTAACGAACTCGAATCTGCGATCGCGAGAGGCTGTTTCATTCCTCCCGATCGATTCGAGTGCGTCGGGGCGGGCGTGCAACTCTTTTCTCCTACACTTTCCTTTTCTTCCTTTTACCGGACTCGCTGATCAGCAAACTACTGAATAGTTGATTCATTCGTTCGCCTTATTAACGTCGATTAACCAGTTAAGTATGGAATTTAGTTTGAAAAATCTCTCATTGTGCGCGCAATAAAATCAAATAATGAAGTGTATACTCATTAAATGCAGGCCAAATGCACTTAAAATATATCCTAACGCAAAACTAAAGCGAAACGAAGAAGAATTATATATTTGTCTCATAAATAAATAATCCATCGTTGAAAAAGTTGGCACCATTAAGAGTTTTAAGATGTTAACCCTTTGAACTCGGGGGCGACTCCCAGGTGCGAGATGATTTGATACAGGAAAATTATAAACTTTTCTATTTACCATTTAACTTTGCATACTGCATCAATACGTGAAATATTAAAAGAAAATAGCTTTGTTCCCTAATTTATGTGTGATTTCTTGATAAATTCATTTTAAAGAATCTTGTCTATATCTGTTTAGAAAGTACTGAATATTTCAAGCGGAAAACTTTCGAGTGCAAAGGGTTAACTGGTTAAGAACGTCAGCATCTCAAACTGAACGTATACAGTATAAATCGAAAGCTCAGAGTGGTTGGAAGCTTCGATGGACGAAGCTGAATCATATCGAATGCTTAACCCTTTGCGCTCCTGTGTCGAGCGTGACTCAGTTTTATTCATAGGTGTGATGTCAAGATATTTTTAACATAGTTTATACTATTATATTTTCAATATTAGTAAGGAGAATCGTTTGCACTGCTCTCTACAAGCTATTTTTCAATTGCATTTCAAATAACATATCGTAACAATACAGAGTTATCCAGGAAAAATGCGGAAGAAATTCGGAGTGCAAAGGGTTAAGGGTCAACAATGCGTTAGCAATGAATCTCGCGTCCGAGATGCAAGGAGATATATTTTATAGATCGCTATAGGAAACCTCGACGTTTTGTTTAGTAAATAACTCAGAAGTTTCAGGAATCTGAATGATAAATTTCAGACCCATCATTGCGCACCCCTTAAAGTCCGCGCGTTAATCACCGTTCCGGAACTGTTCCGTGTCAACCATCTGCCCGTTAATGCTCCAGTATCCACCGTCTATCTAATCGCTGATGTATTTATAATACCGCTACACTCGCCAGTGTTTAACATGCACTCGTCCCGACTCGTTTGCGCGATTACCTCTAGACGTATCGTTTCGATTGCGCCGTTCTGCTCTCTCGAACGACGATAACGTCTCGATCATTAACGCTTCTACGCGTTTCGATTTCCAAGAACAGGAGGAGAGGCCTCGAATTGTTCGATTTCAAGCGAATTTCTGTTGCTAAACACCTAGATGTGAACGAACGATTCGTGACAATGCTGTTTTCTTGATTTCAACATTCGATATTTCATCCCCTTTGCACTTTAGTTTTTCACTAGAAATATTTTAATATCTCTGTGTGAAACTAACTCGAAGGGAAATCACACGTACATGGAGGAATAAAGCTATTTTATTTCAATATGATATTAACCCTTTGCACTCGAGAATATTTTTCTCGACAAATATTCATTATGATATTTTTTACGACTAACATAAAGAAATACCCTGTATAAATTAAGTAACAGAATTATTTTATTTCGACGTTCCATGTGTTGATACATTAAATAAAATTTAATATTGAATTTTAAATTTTACCATTTTATTGGGTCAAAGCAAATGGCAACTGAAAGACACTCCTCGAGTGCAAAGGGTTAAATATAAAAATTTATAGTTTCACTGTATCAAATCAAATAGTGAGTGAGAGTCACCTGTCGAGTTCAAAGGGTTAACATTCGTTCCCTCTAACTTTGCAGTATGGCTGAATATATTCATTTTTCTGTCTTTCGGCGCATTTTCGAATTCTCTGCATTCTATCGAACGATAATCGATTGAGAAAGATTGAGAAAGGTTAATTGTCTATTTCCTCAGTCCCCCATCTTCGATGTGCGATGACAAAAGTCTGCGTCGTGGGCTTTCCACAATCTCCTTCATTCTGCGAGCAGTTCGCATCGCGATTGCGAGATCAGCGTGGGATTTGTTTTCCAATTTCGTTTGAGCGTTGCCTACCTTACTTTTTCGTACCCATGCTTCCGTGGGAAGGGGCCTACGCAGGGTCGTAAGGTCAGTGCACGGTTCTTGCATAGATTTTACGATTCCACCCTGCGTCCACTGTTCGTCCGAGCGGAATAACAGCCTGCGTTATCGTTTCGGCGTCCATGTCCGAGGGTATAACCCGCTAAAGACAAACATTGTCCGGTTTCCAATTACCGCATCCGGCTGCCCGTGTTTCCGGAACATCAACTTTGATTCCTTCAGCCGAGAGAACGATCTGAGATCGCTTGAACCGACCGAAACCGATTTGGCTCCGGAAGTTGAGGACGTTATCTGTGTTGACAGTTTGTAGCGTTTTGTACAGTGTTATTCTTTCGTCGCAACGACGAATCTTAATCGAAGGGGTTCACTGCTAGCATAAGACATGCGATTTGTATTTTTAATTCATTTCGCTGTATACCAACCCTTTGTGTTGATGTTAATTTCACTTAGAAATTAAGAGTATTTGTTAAATTTTAGACAAGTTTGATGCAGTAATAGATCTCTATTCTATATAAATCGTCATATATAATGTATAATTTCATGTTTTAATTAACTTCGCTGTATAACAACCCTTTGTGTTGATGTTAATTTCACTTAGAAATTAAGTGTACCTGTTAAATTTTAGACGAGTTTGATGCAGTAATAGATCTCTATTCTATATAAATCGTTTTAATAATGGATATTCCAATATATAATTTCATATTTTAATTTATTTCGCTGTATACCAACTCTTTGTGTTGATGTTAATTTCACTTAGAAATTAAGAGTACTTGTTAAATTTTAGACAAGTTTGATGCAGTAATTTCTACATAAATCGTTTTAATAATGAATATTCGAGTATATAATTTCATACTTTAATTATTTCATTGTATACGACTAGAACGATGAAAGGTTTAAAATTACGACCGCAAAGGGTTGAGATACATGTAAAATGCAACGGATATACTCGTGCTAGAAATTCGAAACGCTTCTTTAACCCCTTAACCACGGAATTTTTCACGCGTATCAACACTGCAATTTAACGCGCTTTATCTTAACTCTTTCTCCCTCTGAGTTTATTGTCTGTTTTACAACGTAATTAGTTTTCTACCGAAAAATAATGTTTCAAAGATGCACTTCTCGGTAGATGCACCCTTGAAGTTTCTATAGAGGAATTTCGAAAAAATCAATTCAATTGATCGGTAGATCTAGCATTAACACTAAATCTACACGAGTCAAAATTACGCATTCCTGATTTCTTTTTTCTACAATTATTAAAAAATCAAAGATATTTCCCTGAGAAATTATTCAAGAAATTGACTCATTCATACAACAACTGAATCGTAAATCAATTAAAGTCTCAATAGATGCACCCTTGAAGTCGCTATAAAGGAATTTCGAAAAGTCAATTCAATTGCTCGGTAGGTTTAGCGTTAAGGACGTTTACCTCGGCGTCGTGGATCTTCCCGTGGATCAGACGCCCTCGATCTTGCCCGGCCGGACCACGGACGCCGGCAATAAGTTTCATTGGCCTAACAAATTGTCACGCCCGTCTCGAGGAGGAAGAGGCGACATCGTCGTTTCAGGCCACTTCTTCGTAATGGGCAATTGCGGCTGCGCTGCCTGTCCTGAGTAAATAATAAAATCGTTTCGGGCCACCAGTACACCGTGCGACGCGCGCGCTGATCGGTCCCATTGTTCGCCGCGATCCTCTTTCCGATCAACGATCGTCAAAGACTCGCTCCTCGCCGGATGGGACCAGCGTCTGCTCGTAACGTTCCGAGGAACAGCGAGTCGGTTTTCGGGGAATATGAAATTTTATGGGCCGGTTTCTTCCCGGTGAATTATTGAACGGTTCGACCCGTACTCGCCTCGTTGTAAACGGAATTAGGGAGGCGAGAGTTATGGTGGTGCCGGGGGATTGTTTCGGGCTCCACAACGATCCTTCTTCGCATGGAGAACTTCCGACGAATCGTGGAAAATTTAGAGAATTCACAGAGTTTAACGCGTTGAGTGCCGCACGATTTTGCCGAGACAAATATAGAAAATGAGAATAATGTAATATCAACTTATGTAATTGAATTCCGTTTATTGCTTTTCCTTTGTTTATTTTAATTGTTGAATATCAGTGCATTAATTGGTATTACTTATAACAGAAAAGTTTTCAAATAATCGTTTAATCGAATGAATTACAGTAATTCGAATTTAGGTCACCGGTGACACCCAGCGTATTAAAGAATGTAGATTCAACAAATTTTCTACAAATTTCAACGAACCCACGAAACTGCGTTCTTGATTAATTGTACATTCGATCTTCGACTTCCATTCGCGATTTGGACTCCCGATAGAGTACTAAGACCTGCAGATTGAATTGTCATCTAAAACACTGTCGCAAGGATCCATTTCACGAATCCCTTTAACCAAAGTGAAGTTAGCAGTAATTCCAGGGATCGATGAAGTTTCTAATGAAGTATCTCTAAGTCGTGAAGCTTTAGCTTCAACGAGTTGATCCTCGCTGTCGAATCCGCTAGGGAAGGTAACGGCGACCTGTGGCGCGTCTCGCCGCTACAATTGTCGCGCGGATTGTTAAACGCAGAGTCGGGATTGCTCGCGTCAGTGTCTCTAACTGCGCCGTTAAAGGTGGCCATCAAGTTTGATGAGGGACGAAGGATATCGTTTCGAAGTTTTACGTCCCTCGCTGTGGATCAGCCGCGCGGGGGTGCGCAGGGGGCGCGCGTTTATACGGGCCCGCTAACTGAGAAATATTTTTCAAGGCCTCGATCGTTACGCCGCGTTAAGAGGCGGCGTAAAACTTTATGCCGCGCGGCCCCGCGGACCGTTGCACGTAACGCGAACAATTATCCCCCGAGATATGCTCATCGTGTTTTCCGAAAGCGAGAGAGCGCGGGACGCCGATCGTTCCAGGTTGAACGAAACCGCTCGTTTTTCAGCTTTATCGAACCAAAGAAGCCGGTCCGGAGCTAGGGGCCACGATTAAAACAGTCTTTCTTTGCCAAAGAGACACCGGAGGTAATATATACCCGTGCGCACGGCCGCAGAGAGAATATTTTATCGGTCGTTCCGCGGGATCTCGCCGGGGAAATCGATGAGACGCGACGGAAATCCGAACGGCCGAGATCCTAGGGGTCTCCGGTGGAAAAAGTCGACCGGGAATAACGACGGGAGGGACTCGAGCGGGCTCGAGCGGACGAGGATAAATCGCTGGGTTCAAGTAGACCGAGCCGGCAGACGGTCCAGATGAAATTTCGCAGATCCTCCGCGTGCAGCCCGAAGATGGAATTGCTCTCGAGGCGGTCGTCGGGCGACAGGATGTCGACCCTGAAGAGGTCGAGGTCCTTCCGCGCCTCGTTGAAGCTGATGTCGAAGCTGCGGGCGCACGCGAGCCTCCGGCTGAACGCGGGCTTCGATCTGTCCCCGGTTAAAGTGCTCGACCAGCGCGCGAGGAAACGGCCGGCCAACAAGCTGTCCTCCGTCGACGAATCCTCCAGTCCCGCCGGGAATACACAGATCATCGGCAATCCCTGGACAAACGAGCCCGAAGCTCCGGCCGTTGAGGCGCAGCCGGCTACGCGGGAGAACGAGCTGGATTCGCGCAGGATCAGCAAAGAGCTGAAGACTAAGCTGTGCCTGACGGACAGGATCATGAGGAAGAACCGTAAGGATGTCGACAAACCCGCGGGAATCGCCGGTAACCCGCTGTCGCCGAAGGTGACGCACATCTTCCGGTGGAAGAGCTGCGAGGAGACTTCGAGTCCGAGGTTCTCGGAGAGAAGACAACAGGCTTCCAGTGATCGGGTGTCCTATGAGAACCCTACGTTTTCCTTGGACAGCTCGTTGGACTCGTCTGTTTCGAGTTTCCTGTTCGAACCCACCAGCCTGGACCATCACGAGATTGCCGAGGAGGATCCGGTGGGTCAGAAGTCCCGGCAGGATGATGGGCTGACCGTCGTCGTAGATTCCCGGGTGTCCTGCGAGCGGAAATGCGTTTATGGCCGGGAGGATAATGACGGCAGGAGTTTCGAGTGCAATAAACGGTGCACGCGTCCTCCGCTGATGGCGGGGACCAAGGCTAGGAGCCTGTCCGTGAACGACGTGGTCCTGCGGGACGAGGAGGGAGCAGTCAGTTTGGACTTGAACGCGTTCGACTCATTGTCGCGGGACCGAGGTCTCGAGTTGAAGGGACGCAAGTCGCCGGACACGCTCGGGAAAGCCTCGGTTTGCTCGTCGAAGTCCTGCAGGATCAGGACCGTGGACAATATCGCGAGCTTCTGGTCGAGCGCGCGCGGCGGCAGCTTCCGCAGCAAAGTCTCCGTGGGCAGGAAGAAGTCGATCAAGGACTCCAGGGAGTCCCTGGGACCGGACAGGGTCTTGCCCGCTGCTGCTTCCGGAACAAGTACGGTTGCTATCAGGTTTTTAGCTTTTCGCTATGCGGTTGATGTGGGGTTATCGGGGACGTGTGGAAATGTGGTTGAGATGTGACGTGTAATGTATAATATAGGATCGCTTGAAGTCGTTGAAACTAGCAGTTGCGATTGGAGGTTGCAGCGAGAATTACTGGGTAGTACTGTAAAGCGATAACTGTAAATAACGAAGGTTCTACTGGTAACTACTTTGATATTTTGAATATGAGGATTTATAAAATAATATATATATATATACTTGCAGTAGCGAAGGTTTTACTGTTTCAATATTTTTAGCCGATACGAAGTGTTTAGAACTAGTTGTAATTGAAGATTGCAACGGAAATTACTAGGTAGTACTATAAAGCAATAACTGTAAATAATAAAGGTTCTACTGGTAACTACTTTGATATTTTCAGTATAGCGAAGGTTTTACTGTTTCAATATTTTTAGCCGATACGAAGTGTTTAGAACTAGTTGTAATTGAAGATTGCAACGGAAATTACTAGGTACTATTATAAAACAACAACTATAAATAATAAAGGTTGTACAGATAACTACTTTCAATACGACTCGGGTTAATAGGATAGTTGATACATTTGCAGTAACGAATGTTTCACTGTTTAAATATTTTCGATATATACGCTTATTTATTATAGTATTTATTAATTAAATGTTAAATTAACTGAAAGATACACAAGATTAAATAAGGAACAAGGGAGAAATCGCGATGAGAACGTCCCCGATTTCGGGACCTTCGTATTCCTCGGATCAAACGCGAGTTTTATCGGAGACGAACAATCCGATAAAACTATAAAGAGATGCGGGAAGGATTGAATATTGGAACGAGTCGAGTCGTTCGCAGCGGATTATTCGTTTATTTCGTCCGTCAATTTCCGAACCGATCGATCGTTTCGAATGATACATTAATTGAAACGTTTGCGCGTCCCATCAACTGCTACGCGAAGTAGAACATTTCGAAATCCTCCCCAGCGGTATCGTGCGTTATATTATCGGATAGCTGACCTTTGAGAATCAGAATTGATGCGGCCAAGCCAAGCGGAGAATATCGGTAGACAGGTAGCATTAAGGTAAAAAAGAAAAGATGTCTCTATCGCCACATAGACGCGCCTTCTCGAGCGAAAGGCCACTTATATTTATAATGGGAATTTTTATAGTATCTCCCATTTGTTTCCCTTTGAATATCTTATATTTAGAATTCACTGTTATTATTTTTTTTTCTTTTATATTTTTTCGTTCATTTTCTTGTTTCTTTTATATCGTCTCGTTTATTTTCTTGTTTCTTTTATATCCTTTCGTTCATTTTCTTGCTTCTTTTATTTTCTTGCTTTATATCATTTTTATTTTTGTTTCTTTTATATTTTTTCATTCATACTCTTGTTTCTTTTATATTTCTTCATTCATTCTCTTGTTTCTTTTATATTTCTTCATTCATTCTCTTGTTTCTTTTATATT